GCATCGGGGCACCATTAGGAATTAATGGTACTGCTGTGCAACTGCTAAAGAGATGTGTGTTTGTTGCGTGTTGTGGGATTTTGCACACGCTCCCTAAATGCACAAATGTGAACCTAGCCTCAATCCTTTGTTCCATCTCAGTGCTGCTGATCTTCTGTAACCCTTAATTCAGCCACTTGGTCCACATGCAATTCAGCAATGGTTACATGGCATTTTCCAGGGTGGGCTTCCTGATGGTGATGACAGTGGACCATGTCTGTGTAATCTCCCTCAAAAGCAATAGGAAGCTGACTCCCACGGGGGGACTCGCTCCCAAGTTCCACTGCTGGAACCATTGACACAGACAGCGGGACTCAGTGCTGCCCCCCACTCCCTCGTCGCTGGCGTTGATTGACAGGAGTGGAACCAATGGCTCCCGCTGCTATCGATCTGCTCAGTGAAGAGGGACAAAGCCATGCTGTCATGCATAGCACTGGATCGCGATGGGGCTCAGGTAAGTATGAGGGGGGGAAGGGGGCATCCTGTTACACAGAAGGTTTTCTTACCTTAAAGTGTTACTAAACCCAGGACCCTCTATCCACTATATCTGGTCTCCCACAGTACACAGAACATGGAAATGCAATTACTTTAGTAAATATAAACTAAATATTTTCTGTCATCAGCAGTATATAGCAGTCTTCAGACTTCTATCGGTGTCCAGCTGAGCACTGGTTAAAGCTTGTAGGAGGAGTTTTAATTCTGCTCTGACTGCTCATTCTGCTCTGACAGTCCTATAAGGCTGCATAACCCGTGATCCTGTGTCTTGACAGTGCTGATTGGCTCTGTGCTGATCACATGCACCCTCCCAAAGCAATACACACCAAACTGAGCATGTGCAGAATGACTCCTAGAACTCTGTACTATCAGCAGATGGATTGGGGATAGTAGAAGGGGAGGATCAGAGAAGGCAGGATCAAACAGCCTTTTTAAACAATATGGAGGATTAACCCCTTAGGTTCCACAGTGGAATGCATTAAGGTAAAAAAAACCTTGAAGCTTTAGAACCACTTTAATGCACATAACAGGCATAGCAGTGTGAATGGGCCCTAATTAATACTATGTGATGGTTTTGTACTGCTTGGTCACATATCTGTATGTGTACAGTAATGTGTTCTTATAATAATTGGGTAGAGAGAAATTGTAAGGCCTTTATCACAATGTGCAGTCTGATGTTAATAAATTAAAAAAAACATTGTTAAATGTTTTGGAAGAAGTTGGTACATGCTGCCTGTTTATTCTGTCATCATCTCCCCGGCAGTATGACACAGCCCTGGACAGCCAGTCACTGGGCACCCTACAGCCAATGGCGTATCACACGGTTAACCGCAGGTATCGGGAGTTTCTGAACTTACAGACCCGTCTGGAGGAGAGAGCCGATCTGCGCAAGTTTATTAAACGTGAGAAACCTTTCTAAGTGATGTTTGTGTCATTTCCTAATACAATCCATGTGTCAGTAAGGACTGCCAGCACAACGGCTTATAGTTCTTTATTTCCAGGACTCTGTCACAGTTATGTCAAAGCAGAATCGATTTAAAGAGTTAATTCACCGAAAAAACTGCCTATGAAGGTAAGTGGCATCTGTATATACACTGCTCAAAAAAATTAAAGGAACACTTTTTAATCAGAGTATAGCATCACGTCAACTAAACTCCTGAGATATTGATCTGGTCAAGAAGTTGAGGGGGTTGTTAATCAGTTTCAGCTGCTTTGGTGTTAATGAAATTTACAACAGGTGCACTAGATGGGCAACAATGAGACAATCCCCAAAACAGGAATGGTTTTACAGGTGGAGGCCACTGACATTTTTTTCCCTTACTCATCTTTTCTTGCTGTTTTTCACTAGTTTTGCATTTGGCTAGGGTCAGTGTCACTACTGGTAGCATGAGGTGATACCTGGACCCTACAGAGGTTGCACAGGCAGTCCAACTCCCTTCAGGATGACACATCAATACTTGTCATTGCCAGAAGGTTTGCTGTGTCTTCAGCACAGTCTCAAGAGCATGGAGGAGATTCCAGGAGACAGGCAGTTACTCTAGGAGAGCTGGAAAGGGCCTTAGAAGGTCCTTAACCATCAACAGGACTGGTATCTGCTCCTTTGTGCAAAGAGGAACAGGATGAGCACTTGCCAGAGCCCTACAAAATGACCTCCAGCAGGCCACTGGTGTGAATGTTTCTGACCAAGCAATCAGAAACAGACTTCATGAGGGTGGCCTGAGGGCCCGACGTCCTCTAGTGGGCCCTGTGCTCACTGCCTGGCACCATAGAGCTCAATTGGCATTTGCCATTAAACACCAGAATTGGCAGGTCCACCACTGGCACCCTGTGCTTTTCACAGATGAGAGCAGGTTCACCCTGAGCACATGTGACAGACATGAAAGGGTCTGGAGGAACTGTGGAGAACATTATGCTGCCTGTAACATTGTTCAGCATGACCATTTTCGTGGTGGGTCAGTGATGGTCTGGGTAGGCATACCCATGAAGGGACGCACAGACCTCTACAGGATAGACAATGGCACCCTGACTGCCATTAGGTATTGGGATGAAATCCTTGGACCCATTGTCAGACCCTACGCTGGTGCAGTGGGTCCTGGGTTCCTCTTGATGCACGACAATGCCTGGCCTCATGTGGGGAGAGTATGCAGGCAGGTCCTGGAGGATGAAGAAATTTACATCATTGAATGGCCCCCACGCTCGCCTGACCTAAATCCAATAGAAAACCATGTTTTGGTCCATCCGACACCGCCAGGTTGCAATAGAAGGACACCATGGGGTTTATTTACTAAAGCTGGATGTCCAAAATCAAGTTTTGCATAGAAACCAATCTTCTAACCTCAGCTTGTTCAATGAAGCTTTGGCAATGAAACCTGGAAGCTGATTGTTTCTATGCCTCATTTTGCACTCTCCAGATTTAGTAAATAAACCCCCATCTGTCTTCTCATTAGGAGCATGCGCTGGCATTGTCAGGCATGCATACAAGCACATGGAGGACATACACACTAGTGAGCACCATTTTGAGTGGCTGCAAGGAAATTTCAGCAAAATAGCTAGCCTGCTGCATCTTTTTTTCACTTTGATTTTCGGGGTGTCTTTGAATTCAGTCCTCTGTAGGTTCATAATTTTCATTTCCATCAAATGATGGGGCATCCTTACATTCCTAACACATTACCCAGTCCATATCAGTATAGATATCCAGCATGATATTTTTCCCCTTTGAGATCTGATGTGTTTTCAAAGTGTTCCTTTAATTTTTTTTGAGTAGTGTAAAAAACCAACTGGGCATGTTTGACTGAAGTTAAATAATGCCCTTGTTATTGTTGTAGGCCATTTATGTATGTACCTCCCAAAGCATGGCCAAACTCCTAGAGCTGGCATCATTTTATACTACCTTGTTGCTAGGGTATTGCTAAGACACTCCCAACTGATCCCGGTAGCTCTGAGCTCAGCGATGCTGTAATGGAGGAGATAGGGACTACGCAGGTACGGAGGATTGAGAGTCCACTCCTGTGATGGTGGGGGTGAGCCATAACGACTCGGAGTATCTTAGCAAAGTCCTAGCAACAAGGAAGGATGGGATGGCGCCTTCTCTGGGAGTGTTTCAGACAAATTTCTGGTAGGTACATAAATGGCCTACACCTATGACAAGGGCATTTTCCAACTTTAGTCAAAGCTGCATGGTTTGTTTTTATCTACAGTTGCCCCTTACCTGCATAGACAGTTTTGTTGTAAATGTGAAGTCACGCTTTAACTGTTTTGAAAAACAATCACATCAAGGCATGCCATGAATGATAACTGTCAAAGTTGCTGCTTATCTTAACAGAAGTGTAAGGCTACAATCACACCAGCGATTTAGGCTGCATCTCTGAGAGACTAGCTGCGGCTGCTGGCCCTGTTCACTATAATGACAGGTCGCCAGCAACTGCAGCTATTCGCTGCTAACCACGCAGAGAGCGATTACCTGCAGTGATCTCTAGGCACATACAGTCGCTGACCATCTCTTGTATTTTATCTGCAGTCTTTGACCATCTTTTGTACCATGTCTGCAATCTCTGTCCATGTCTTGCATCATGTTTGCAGTCTCTGACCATCTCTTGTATAATGTCTGTTCTCTAACCATCTCTTGTACCTTGCCTTTAGTCTCTGGTCATCTCTTGTATATTGTCTGCAGTCTCTGACCCGCTCCTGTCCTGTGTCCACAGTCTCTGGCCATCTCTTGTATCTTGTCTGCAGTCTCTGGCCATCTCTTGTATCTTGTCTGCAGTCTCTGGCCATCTCTTGTATCTTGTCTGCAGTCTCTGGCCATCTCTTGTATGTTGTCTGCAGTCTCTGGCAATCTCTTGTATGCTGTCTGCAGTCTCTGGCCATCTCTTATATGCTGTCTGCAGTCTCTGGCCATCTCTTATATGCTGTCTGCAGTCTCTGGCCATCTCTTCTTATGCTGTCTGCAGTCTCTGGCCATCTCTTATATGCTGTCTGCAGTCTCTGGCCATCTCTTATATGCTGTCTGCAGTCTCTGGCCATCTCTTATATGCTGTCTGCAGTCTCTGGCCATCTCTTATATGCTGTCTGCAGTCTCTGGCCATCTCTTATATGCTGTCTGCAGTCTATGGCCAGCTCTGACCCGCTTCTGTACTGTGTCTACAGTCCCTTGCCATCTCTTGTATCTTGTCTGCAGTCTTTGACCATCTCTTGTATCTTGCCTTTAGTTTCTGACCATCTCTTGCATCTTGCCTTTTAGTTTCTGGCCATCTCTTGTATCTTGTCTGCAGTCTCTGGCCATCTCTTGTATCTTACCTTTAGTCTCTGACCATCTCTTGTTTCCTGCCCATAGTAGTGTTTGACTAAATCCTGTTGTGTGTCTGCTGTCACTGACACTAAAAATATTCACAGAATTTTATGTGCAGCCCTTTTGGTGATATCAGGGGCCACACTTGAGTATAAGTTGACTACCATGTTATAGAGCAGTGGTAGGATTGTACACACACTGGCAGAGTTGGGAAAGCTTTTTCATTTTTGCAAGGCATGTACATTATTAAAGTGTTTTTGTATTTGTAAAGGCTCAAGGTGCATTCTATGCATGAAGGTAAAACCTTCAGTGAGCAGTTCCTCCACCACCCCCCAATCCGCCCCCACCAACACTTACCCGAGCCCCATTGCGATCCAGGGATGTGCGCGAGAGCCTCGACTCTCATGGGTTAGTTATTTCCTTCCGCGTTGGTTGAAACAGCAACATTAGCTAGTGAGCCAATGAGGAGAGAGAGTGGACTGGGCCGAGCTGTGGCTCTTTGTGTGAATGAACATACAGAGCAGCGGCTTGGGAGCGAGCCTCCTTGGGTGCGCCCATAGCAAGCTGCTTGCTCTGGGTGCACTCGGCAGGAGGGAGGAGCCAGGAGGGGGACCTATGAAGAGGAGGATCAGGGCTGCTCTGTGCAAAACCACTGCACAGAGCAGGTAAGTATGACACGTTTGTTATCCTTTTTTTTGCTTTTAATATTGGTACATAGACAAGCTGTAGTTTAGGAAACAAAGGAGATCATGCGACTAGTAGCCATTTCTACAAAGGGAGAAAACAGCGGTGCCTGGTTACACAAACCAGAGACATAAGTGGCATATCTGGGGGACACTAAAGAGATGGAAGAAAGTTCTGTATAAACGAACTCACAGCGTGTTGAACAAGGTCAGGAAGCCTCTTGTCAATCATATTCTATTCTCCCTGGCTGGCATTCAGCTTTAAGAGATCTGTGACAGATCGGAGGGCAAATTTCATCACTAAATGCTGATCGTTGGCGGCACAACAGAGAAAAGAGACGGGCAATCACTATTGGCCACACTATCACACAAAGCTAAATTTGTTTCTTTGTTTGCAAAACAAACCTGAAGACCTTTTTGCACATAAATTGCATGTTGATACACAACTGCTTTAATAAATGTCTCCCATTACATACTAATGCCAGGTCTCTGTCCTTGTGAATTTTAGACATTAAAGGGCCCAAGAAGTTTCTTCCAGATTTGCCATTTGGGAACATGGACACTGAGAAGGTGGAGGCAAGGAAGAGTCAGCTGGAGTCTTTTCTGAGGGTAAGGGAGCATTCTGTAGATGACCCTATTATATACTGTACGTTGTCACTGAAGCTGTCATCATAAGTGCCATCAAGACTCCGACCGACCACCAACCACAATGTCTTGGCTTGTGGTCAGACACATTTCTGGTGAAAAAAGATATTTATTATATAGTCACATACACATGCAGTAAATGAGTGCCTCTGTGTTCTCAGTATGGTGATACAGGAGCTCCATATGCATTATGACTACTTGTCAGGGAGTGTGCTTCCAGGGACTAATTTGGGCTTCTCTCCAAGTAGCCAGTTTTTTTTATGTCTTTGGTTACACAGAAGTCTGGCTACACATAGGAGACCAATTCAGGAGTTTAACATTCAGTTCACCGTGCATGCATTAAGCTACCTAAATTTAAGTGTAAATCACCAGCTCACTACTCACCTGCTCTGCACTCAAAGCCTTGTACTTACCAGTCCCTCAGTCATCAGCCCTGTACTCACCTGCCCTGCACTCACCAACCGCACACTCATAGGCCCTGCACTCACCAACCACACGCTCATAGGCCCTGCACTCACCAACACACACGCTCATAGGCCCTGCACTCACTCACCAACCACACGCTCATAGGCCCTGCACTCACCAACCACACGCTCAGGCCCTGCACTCACCAACCACACGCTCATAGGCCCTGCACTCACCAACCACACGCTCATAGGCCCTGCACTCACCAACCACGCTCAACACCACACGCTCATAGGCCCTGCACTCACCAACCACACACCTCATAGGCCCTGCACTCACCAACCACACGCTCATAGGCCCTGCACTCACCAACCACACGCTCATAGGCCCTGCACTCACCAACCACACGCTCTCATAGGCCCTGCACTCACCAACCACACGCTCATAGGCCCTGCACTCACCAACCACACGCTCATAGGCCCTGCCCTAGGCCCTGCATTCACCAACCACACGCTCATAGGCCCTGCATTCACCAACCACACACTCATAGGCCCTGCATTTACCAGCCTCACCACTCACCTAGGGCCCTGCACTCTCACCAACCACACGCTCATAGGCCCTGCACTCACCAACCACACGCTCATAGGCCCTGCACTCACCAACCACACGCTCATAGGCCCTGCACTCACCAACCACACGCTCATAGGCCCTGCATTCACCAACCACACACTCGCTGCCCTATATTTACCAGCCTCCCACTCACCTGCCCTGCACTTGCCAACCACACGCTCATAGGCCTTTCACTCACCAACCACACACTCGCTGCCCTATATTTACCAGCCTCCCACTCACCTGCCCTGCGCTCACCGACCACATAGGCCCTTCACTCACCAACCACACGCTCATAGGCCCCTCACTCACTGACCACACGCTCATAGGCCCTTCACTCACCGACCACACACTCTCTGCCCTATATTTACCAGCCTCCCACTCACCTGCCCTTCACTCACCAACCACACGCTCATAGGCCCTTCACTCACCGACCACACGCTCATAGGCCCTTCACTCACCGACCACACATTCTCTGCCCTATACTTAACAGTCTCTCTCTCACCTACCCTGCGCTAACCTACCACTTACAATCATTAGATGTGATGGCTGCATTAGTTTCCTTTTAGGATTTTTCCCTCTGTTTTTACTTGGTGATCTGACCAGTAATACACCTCACTGTATTACAGTGCCTTCACTCCGAATGAAGGAGCACAGGGGGCACAACAGACAGCAGAATTGTCAGTCTGGTAGGAGGGGAGTTTTAGATGTACTAGCAGATTTAAATACACTAATTGACATCTCCCCTCTCGAAAAGCCCCGGGACCAGACGGATTACCCTACTCCTATTACAAATCCTTTTTTGGTATCCTGGCCCCTCATCTCCTCTCCTTTTATCGAGATCTTTTTAAGGGGGTCACACCCCAGACTGAATTCTCCCGTGCATATATCTTGGTTATCCCTAAACCCGATAAAGATCACTCTATTGTTGACAATTACCGCCCCATTGCTCTACTTAATTCCGATTACAAGATTTTCACTAACATTTTGGCCAACCGACTGTCCGGAATTATTTCCAAACTCATACATAGGGACCAAGTAGGCTTTGTACCTGCCAGACATGCTGCAGATAATACCAGGCGATCGATTGATCTGGTTGACTTGGTTAACAGATCCTCCACCCCTGCTGTGTTATTGAGTTTGGATGCTCAAAAAGCTTTCGACCGTCTAAGCTGGCCATACATGTTCATGGTCTTGGAAATATATGGCTTCAGGGGTCCATTTGTAGCAGCTTTGAAGGCCCTTTATTCTTCCCCCTTCTCGCAGGTCAGATTAGCTTCTTTTCTCTCACCCCCCTTTCAGATGTCAAATGGCACCCGTCAGGGTTGTCCACTGTCACCCTTGCTATTCATTCTTTGTCTGGAACCATTGGCCATTGCCATTAGGTCGAATCCGGATATTCGCGGGATACAATCCCATACCCATGAGTACAAATTATCGTTGATTGCAGATGACATCCTCCTCACACTTTCGAGTCCCCATACCTCCTTACCGATTCTACATAAGTCCTTGAAACAATTCGGGGCTATATCAGGCTACAAAGTCAACACATCTATAACTGAAGCTCTCCCAATACATGTTCCACCTGTCGCTCTATCCTCACTTCAGGAAGCTTTTCCCTATCGGTGGTGCACCCATTCTTTAAAATATTTAGGCACTAATCTTACCTCCTCTTACCAATCCATATACGAGACCAATTTCCCCTCACTATTTATAGCTATTTCTCACTCCCTGAAACATTGGGATGCCCTGCCCATTTCCTTCCTCGGACGCATTAACGTATTAAAAATGACCGTGTTACCCAAACTCTTATACCTGTTTGCGACCCTCCCCGTCCCCGTTCCTATGTCCAAACTCCACTCCCTTCAGAAATCTTTCCTGCATTTCATTTGGCACAAGTGACACAGGATTGCATGATCTGTCTTGCTTTCCCCGCGCTCTAGAGGGGGATTGGGGGCGCCGGATATAATAGCATACTACTATGCAACTCATCTTCGTTTTCTCATGTCATGGTCCACCCATTATCCCCCCAACGCATGGACTGAGATCGAATCTTTGCAGTTGTATCCGGCTCACCCTTGCTCTCTACTTTGGTCGACCTCAGCAGTGGATGTTTCTTCCTTTCGCCACCTACTCCTTGGTCCCATGCACTTTTCCTTGACTGTCTGGCAGAAATGTAAGGCTAAATTTACACTGGCCTCTGATTGCTCTCCATTGACAAATATCCTCTATAACCCTAATCTTCCAGACAACATGGCCATGTCCCGGATGTCCCTCTGGGTAGTAGCTAACCTTTTTCAATTGCGCCACTTGATACACCCGGTGACTCGTAAGTTACATTCATTCTCAGAACTCCAGAAAAAAGCCCTCCTACCTTCTCAACATCTTTATATTTACCTCCAAATACGCCACTTCTTTTCTACCTTATCACCCTCATTGACCCTGGAAGCCTACTCCCTTTGAACGTTTATGTATACAAGGTCCCCACCAAAGGGGTATTATTTCTAATACTTATAAACTTCTTATGGCTGCCCCCCCTTTGTCCAGTGACACTCCTCTTTACATGCGTAGGTGGTCTCACTTCGTGCAATGTGATTTAGATTTAGTAACGTGGAAGAAAATTTGGGAAAATGCATCTAGGTCATCTGTATGTGTGGTTTTTAAGGAAAATATTTACAAGATCATGATGCTATGGTACAAAACACCAGAAGTTCTCCATGCTTATAATCCGAATGCTTCCCCTGCCTGCTGACGCTGTGGTAGGGACCTCGGTTCTCTCTATCATATCTTTTGGACATGCAGCAACATTACTCCTTTTTGGGAAGATGTCCTCTCCTTATTGCAATTGTTGCACACCTCTCTCCCACTTGATCCTCTACATTTTTTGCTGGGTTTGCCATTCCCGGGACTACCTAAACTATCCAGGAAACTCGCTGTACATGTGCTAGCCGCGGCCAGGAGAAGCATTCCTATGTGTTGGTTATCTTCTACTCCTTCTTCAATGCCGATTTTGTATAAACTTATTGCTGATGTAAGACAGATGGAATATTTGACTGCCCTACAAAGTTGTTCGTTTGCTAAGTTTGAGATGGTTTGGCTTCCATGGGATACCTTTACTTCCTCTATGCCAGCCCAAAATAAGGCCCTGATTAATTACCTTTACATTACTATCTTCTGATTCCACTGGTCCAGTCTATTTGTAGTTGCCATCGATGTACCTTTCTGTTATGTTTAGTCTCTTTCTTTATCCTGTTTAAATGTATTGTTTGTAATTTCAAGAAAATCAATAAAAATTGGTAATACATAAAAAAATACACTAATTGAAGCCAAACTCCAGCTCACAGTTTATAATCAGTTACAGCAGACAGTGTTTTTTTTCCTTTAGGGATAAAGGTTTTACATGAATAAATAAAAGCTGATCTTTTAAACCACCATGCGAGTGTCAAATGCTTTGCTTGATCCATGTAAACTGATATATTCTGCTGGAGAGCTTAAGCTTTTAAAAAAACAACAGACTTGCTCGCTGGATCACCAGATGAAAAAGAGAGAAAACCTAAATAATAAAATGAATGCAGCCATCACATCTAAGAATTGGCAAGCTACAATATACTAAATGTTTCCTTTTGGGTTTTATATTCTTTTATCTCCCCAGCCCTAAACTTACTTGCCCTGTACTCACCTACCACACACTACCGACTCTGCACTCAATGGCCCTGCACTGAGTAGCTCTGTACCTGCCAGCCAGGCATTTGCTGGCCCTGCACTCGGTGGCATCTCACTCATTACTCAACCCTCACTGGCACCGCACCTGCCATAGGATGGACACTACTATAGTTTGACGAGGTGATAGGTGGGTCAATATAGAGCATGGACAGGAAAAAGACCGGTAGTCCTGGTAGATGCTTCTGGATGCTCCCAGGTTGAGGGGGAGTCAAAAGTGATTGTGAGAGAATTCCTGACCTCCCTAGTTGTATCTTCAGACATCAGCTGGTAGAGTCAGGGGCCTCCCACATATATGACATTGTTGCTTTGTCTGAAAATGGCGCCATCAAGGACCTGTCACTTTGGGGGAGATTTACTAAAACTGGAGCACTCAGAATCTGGTGTAGCTGTTCATGGGTATCCAATCAGCTTCTAACTTCAGCTTGTTCAATTAAGCAATAGAACCTGGAAACTGATTGGTTTCTTTGCAGAGTTGCACCAGATTTTGCACTCTCCAGTTTTAGTAAATAATCCCCTTTATGTCTAGCATTTGACAAGCTTTGGATAAAGCTTGAAAGAAAAAGATCTGCATATAAGACGCCAGAACACTTTTCTAGATGTGTCTGCGCTGACCAGTCCCGTCAGATCCCTTGCACTGATGTCACCCCTGCAGACTCTTTTTCTAGATCATAAGAGGACCTGGCTGCTGGACAGCCAATAGGAAAAATCCATATCATGCAGGCAGTGACATAGGCACCTAAAGCAGAATCCTACTTTCTGTAAAGAAAAGATTTGAGAAGGCCTGAGACTGGAACGTCATGTGACTGCGGTTTTAGGTGAGTGAAAAAAAAAAAGCATTTAGATAGCAATCGGTGGTGGGGGGGGGGGGAATAGTAGGAGCCTGGAGATCAGCTTTAATGCTACACATGCCTGGGCTTGTTTGAAAAAGCATCGCATTCAGTGAACGAATCCCATGGGATCCTCTTATTTATCAAAGCTTCAGCATTATTATTCCGAAAAGAAGAACATTAACCAGCCGCAGCGTTTAGGAAGCAAATCACCATTTTGTTTGATGAAGTGTCCAAATGTAACATCTGTTGTGAACAGAACTCACAAACTGTAAATTTGTAAATGTAACAAATGCAAAACATCCAAATAAACAGAAAACTATTGCCAGAAACACGCCGCCTCCAATTTATTCTACGCAAATAACGAGCCGAGCTCCCGGCACTCTAATACATTTACCTGTAAACTGAACCCAATCTTTCTGACATACGTCTTTCACCAATTGGGGATGTTCCTATTATAGGGGATGTTCTTACTGAAGGATGATGTTAGCATGTAGGGTGTTTTTAGCATTATAGGGTGATGTTTCTTTTATAGCTTCAGTTAGCATTATGGGGTGTTGTTAGCATTATAGAGTTGTTAGTGTTCTGGGGTGGTGTTAGTATTATAGGCTGTTGTTCTCATTATAGGGTGATGTGTTATGGGGTGGTGTTAGTTTTATAAGGTGATGTTAGTATTATGAGGGGATGTTGGTATTATTGGGTGGTGATTTTAATGGACTCTTGTAACGATGTGTCTTTTGTACAGCAATTGTGCGCGGTGCCGGAGATCGCCAGCAGCGAGGAGGTGCAGGAGTTCCTGGCTCTGAACACGATGCCAGGATTGCATTTGTCAAGAAGCCATTCCTATTCTCCCGGATTGATAAGGTACCAGAACACCTTGTGATATCCTCTATTGTATATAGCTGGAATTTGCAGACATAAGAAATTCTGCTGCACAAATATGTTTGAGAGGTGCTTGTCTCTATCGCCTAACCCATGAACTGCTGCAAGATGTAGACAGAAATGTTATCCCCCTCCTCTGATTTCTGCATGATTGATGTGACAATACTGCCCGTGATCTTGTCATCTGTGATTCTGTCATCTACTGTAGGCCATGTATGAACTGTGTCTCAGTGGAATGATGGAATGGGCAGGGCAGCGGCTAGTGGAAGGGGACGGGGCAGCGGCTAGTGGAAGGGGACGGGCAGCGGCTAGTGGAAGGGGACGGGCAGCGGCTAGTGGAAGGGGACGGGCTGCGGCTAGTGGAAGGGGACGGGCTGCGGCTAGTGGAAGGGGACGGGCAGCGGCTAGGGGAAGGGGACGGGCAGCGGCTAGGGGAAGGGGACGGGCAGCGGCTAGGGAAGGGGACGGGCAGCGGCTAGCGGAAGGGGAAGGGGACGGGCTGCGGCAGCGGCTAGCGGAAGGGGCCGGGCAGCGGCTAGCGGAAGGGGCCGGGAGCGGGGGGCCGGCAGCGGCTAGCGGAAGGGGCCGGGCAGCGGCTAGCGGAAGGGGCCTGCGGCTAGCGGAAGGGCCGGGCCGCGGCTAGCGGCTAGGGATGGGCCGTGGCTAGTGGAAGGGGACGGAAGGGGACGGGTTGGGCCTAGTGGTGACTTTGCTCATCCTATGATTGCCCAATCTGGCCACCAAATAAAAGATCGCGCTACAAATATTATGTGTACTTTGTGAGATGTACATATTTTAGACAGTGTGGCAGTTCTGGGCACTCCCACAGTGTGAATTAAGGTTACAACCCAGGATTCTCAACTAAACAGGTTGAGGTGCTCCAGGGGGTTTTCTTAATGCAGAAGAAACTGGTTTTTCAGTTTCCTCATTTGTTTGTAAAGTCATTTTTGGTACCTGGAGCCTGGAGATTTTGAAGTTATTTGGGTTGAATGAAATCTCCAATCCTGGGTCCATGGTTTTTGAACCCCCAGCACACTAATTGTACAGGTGTGTGCAGGGCTTTAAATAATAACCTGATTAGGTTTCTGGGCTCCACCCCGGCAGATAGAGGAGGTCTCTGCCTAAGAGCACAAATTGGAGCAGCAAGTGGCTTCCAAGAGTGTGGACCAAGCTGTTGAGTGAGGTCCTAAATGGTATGCGGTCACAGTCTGTAAGAGACCAAGGCTCGAAGAGTAAAGCCTGAGCTATGGTGATGTCTGTCTAAGCCTGGAGACTGCACATGTATTTTCTCTGAGGGATCATTTGTTTGATAACGAATGCTGAAAACTCCTGAGGGAAACCAATGATCCCATTTTTCCTTTTAATAAAAGTAGGCCAGAAAAGCCCTTAAAAAGAAGATGGCAAGTGGAGGTGTCCTTTTTAAACCTTTACCATTTGATGCTAGGTGTCACAACAGGTAACGGAGAAGCATAAGGGAAAATAATAGCAATCAGTCACAAAAATTCATCTTGGCCAACAGATTCTCTCCCTTGGCTTATAGACAAAAGATTCCTTTACTTCAACCATTACAGGGCTGGTTAAGCAAACATTCCCTCCCATCCACAGCACATTTTATTTTTGGGCAGAGCAGCCTGACTTCTCTTGGCCTGTGATCTATTTCCTGATGTCAGACAAGGCAATTCATCTGAACACAGAGTTATGCGGCCATGTTTGTGTCTGGATGTTGTGTACTGATAGCGGCTCCATGGCTGTCACTGGCTGTCTCTGTACACTCTGATTAGACACAGCGTGATAATACACCTGAGATAGATCCGCGATATTTCAGAGTATCATCTCTGCGCTGTCTGTATTCTGATTCTCCCGGCTCTCTGCTGATTTTATCTCCTCATACATCACCTCTATTGTCGTCTCACATTTAAATAACACAAGTGCTGCCATTATTCCCTACACGGTGTCTGCATTCAACATCTGTGCTAGGAATGCACACCGGGTCACATGTCATTGTTAAAGGGACTTTACCAGTGAAAATATATCCAGACTTATTCACCCCTCCTCCAAAGGATGCCATACTTCCCATTAATCTCTACATATTACTCTATTGTGAAGACAAATGTCCCTCAGTAGGCCTCCAAAAACATACACATTCTTGCATTTCATTTCCTTTAAGGAATGTTAACTCTAAACTCCAGGCAATGCTGAACTCCAGGTGAACAGCCAAAAAAACAGCAGAAATACTTCACACGTTTTACCTGCCAATTGATTTGTATTTGTGTCCATCCAGTTTTGAGATTTACACCGCTGTGCCAAATAGCTAAGTTCTGTCTGGTAGGGCGGGAGACCTGCAATTTCTCTGCTGCAGTTCAGTAACACTTACAGGTCTTGTCTCTACCCCTGCCTGTGACTGGGCAGTGAAAGGAGAAGCAGCAGACTGAAGAGAGCTCACCTCTCTGTCACTCTGCTGTGCATTCTATCAACACATTCTTTGTTAATACAGCATAACTCATTGGCTTCTTTGCTGCCCCCCTCCTTCCTCTTCTTTTTTTTTTTCTTCACTCATTTCTGCAGTAGAAAGCAAGTGGTTTCTAATAAGTCAAATTCAGGTACTAACACTGCTGGGATTTAAAGCTGAAGGCAAAATATCTGCTTATATTTTGCCTTTCCTGGCTCTTCTCTCCCCCCTCATCAACATGCTGATTACATTTTTAAATAAAACCTTTCTGTTCCATACCTTAAGATTCAGTGATGTCATCACTGGGCTCTCTCTGTGTTACTCTGTGCAACGCAGGCAGATCATTGCTGATGGAAAGAGCCGGCAGGGTGCTGCACATAGCTTGAAAACCTCACAGCACCCTGTAATCATGTATAAATGATTACAGAGATGCCTTAATTTATGAGGATTTCAGCTTGTTATATTGTATAAAGTAAGATTTATATACCGTCATGGCCAAAAATATTGGCACCCCTGCATTTCTACCACTTAGCCCAGAAAATTGTTGCAATTGCAAATGTTTCGGCATTCCCATGTCTGTTTCTTTTGTTTGTATTGGTATGACACAAAAAAGTGAAGAAACAAAAAGCCAAATCTGACACATTCCACGCAAAACACCCAAAATGGATTGGAGAAAATGATTCCCCTCAATGTAATATTTGGTAGCACACCCCTGAAAAAAAATAACTGAAATCAATCGCTTCCTGTAACCACCAAGTTCTTACACCTCTACTGGAAGTTTGGAAAACGCTTCTTTCACCAACTGCTCCAGACTGCTCCAGTCTCTCAGATTGGAAGGGCTCCTTTTCCCAACTGCTGTTTTTAGTTCCTTCCACAGGAGCTCTATGTGATTGAGATCTGGACTCATTGCTGGCCAGTTCAGTCCTCTCCAGCACTTTGTCTGAAAACATTTCTGGGTGCTTTTTGACATATGCCTTGGGTCGTTGTCCTGCTGTAAGACCCATGACCTCTGATGGAGACCCAACTTTCTGACACTGGGCCCTATATTAAATCCCAGAATTGTTTGGTAGTCCTCATATTTCATAATGCCATGCACACGGTCAAGACATCCAGTGCCTGAAGCAGCAAAACAATCCCAAAACATCAGTGACCCCCCACCATGTGTCACTGTAGGGACTGTATTCTTTTCTTTAAAGGCCTCATTGCTCTTTCTGAAAGCAGTAGAATTATGGGCTTTACCAAAAAGCTGTCATTTTGTTTGGTCTGTCCACAGCACATTCTCCCAAAAGGATTTTGGCTTCCTCAAGTAAGTTTTTGGCAAACTCCAATCTGGTTTTTTTTTTTTCTGTTTTATGTCAGCAGTGGGGCCCTTCTGGGTCTCCTGCCATAGCGTCCCTTTTTCATTCAGATGGCAACGTATAGTGCAAGCTGACACAGTTGTACCCTGTGCCTGAAAGTCAGCTTCAATCTGTCTGGAAGTTGATCGAGGTTCTTCATCCACCATTCGAACAATCCTTTCACTGCAATCTTTGATCAAGTTTTCTCTTTCACCCACATCCAAGGAGATTAGCTACAGTGCCATGGGCTGTAAACTTCTTGACAATGTTGCACACAGTGGACACAGGAACATTAAGATCTGTTAATTGATACAGGTGAGTTTAATTACAAATTACAGGAGCATCACAAACTTGGAATGCAACTATTTCTTACAATTTTGAGACAGTGCCAATAATTCTGTCCATTCCATTTTTGGGGTTTTACGTGGAATTTCTACACTTTTTTGTGTCATACCAATACAAACAAAGAAATAAACATGAGAATGGCCTAAACATTTGTAATTGCAGCAATTTTCCTGGGCAAAGTGGTGCATTATCTGACAGAAAGGCTTGTGTGCCAATATTTTTGGCCGTGACTGTATATTGTGTGTGTGTGTATATGTGTGTGTATGATATAGATATAATATATAGATATATAGATATGATATACAGTGGGGATCGAAAGTTTGGGCACCCCAGCTAAAAATATATATATATATATAATGTGCATAAAGAAGCCAAGGAAAGATGGAAAAAGGTTCTCCACATTGGCATCAAAAAAAGATTTCTTGACATTCTGTTATTTGCTGTCCTCAAAAGTTAGATTTTGAATTCCATCATTGTCACTTTCAAATGAAAACAAAAAAATCCCCGTCTGCAAGAGTTTGGGCACCCTGCATGAGCTGAGTGAGTAATGAGGTGGATGGCAAATCTCAGAATGACAAGAAAAGCACCAAGTGAGTATCCCAGTGCCACATACCTTGTGACACCTTACAGTCCACCAGTACAAGAGTCTTGCAGTTCTGATGGTGGTCTCATGGCTTCTCTCTTTGTCACACAAACTGCTCTTTTAGTACATTGCAGAGCAGCTGGTCAATTTTATTCTTGAGTGTCAGGAAACCCAGTCCAAAAATTAAAATATAATATTCAAAACCTTCATTTAGTCCTCTTGATGTCAATAGCAATGATGGATTTCGATATGTGTTTAGGATATTATCCATCTCTGCAAAGTTCAAACGATACTTTATGAGGGTGGCTGACACTGGCTAGAACAGGTTCCTGCTGTACTGATGTAGCCTTCCATGAAGACCATATTTGCACAGTCTCTTTATAGGCTAATGTGTACCACAACTCCAGTGTCTGCCACTATGTAAAAGGGATTTGCAGTGTCAAACATGGGCCCATTCATGAACTGCTTTTCTCACAACATAAATGCGTTGCAGTATGCTATATTTTTCTTGGAGTTGTAGTGCAAGGAGAGCTGTGAATACCATAAATTGCCTGTGCACTGCTCATACCTCAAAACTGGAGATTCAGAAGAAGCTCTTCTGTGGATAGAGCTGTGACAATATAATAATGATGCTGGAAAAGAAAAAGCTAATTGCTATCTTCTTATAGATTTCTCCATGCTTTGTTTAGGTCAATATTTTCAGTTTGGATTTTCTAGGAACTGTTAGAAGAACTCATGGTGCTGATTGTTGGGGCAAGAATTTCAGATGGATCTGGGCATTTAACACCTGTTTGAGAATGACATCACCTGTCATTCCCAGCGATGAGCGAGAACAATCCAGACACTCTGCATTGGGTCTCAGCTTGGGGGGGCAGTGCATGCTATGCAATTTGCAGGGTGCCCAAACTTTTGCAGACGCCTTTTTTTTTTTTTTTTGTTTTCTGTTTTTTTGAAAGCTTTAAATGATGTGAAATAAAATCTACACTTTTGTCGACATATTATAAGAATGTCTAATCTGTAATGTGATGCGATTCGGGAGTGTGTTGCCATCTTTCTTTGCTTCTTTATGCTACGTTGCAGTGTGAATGGGACACATAGGAATTTTTACTGGGGTTGTTTCTGTGTGTCCCCCCTGTATGACACGACACACAAGTGTTTTCAGACATTGGTTAGTGTAAAAATAAACTTTCTTGTTGCCGTAGGTATTGCTTCCTAAATTGTATTTGTGGTGATGCCATTGTCGACTGTTGAAAACGGCATTTCCCCGATCAAAGCACAGACCAAAGATGGAGCTGAGTGAGAACGAGGTGGATGGCAAATCTCAGAATGACAAAAAAGCAAAAGTGAGTTCCCATTGCCCCATACCTATGTGACACCTCTACAGATCCACCAGTACATTGTATTCATGACAGCGGGAGGGTGGTCTCATGGCTTCTCTCTTTTCACACAAACTCTTTCAGTACATTGCAAAGCAGCTGTATTGATTGAGAGGAAATTTTCTAAAGTGTAACAGCTTACCATATGCAAGGGTCAGTCCGATCTCAAAGAGAAGTATGGCCAAAGCTATGGTAAAAAAAGATGCTAGTGCCTTAAAAAAATAAATAAATAGCATATATATGCATTTTTTTTCTCTCCCACAATGTAGCAGTTGCCTAATCTGAAATAATATTTCTCTGCTCAGTTGACTTACTTTAATGAAAATGGATACACTGGCTCTACATGTTCCTGCTGTAGGGGATGTAGCCACCTTCCTCTGCACAGTCCCATGGGTGCTACATGCTGACATGACCCGCATCACTTTAAAAGACCTTTGTAATGTTCTAATCCTCCCCCTGTCATCACTGCCACAACCACACATAAATGCATTGCAGTATGCTAGCGCATTGAATCTTGGGAGTTGTACAGTGCAAGGAGAGCATGTGAATACCATAAATTACGTGCACTGCTCATACTTCAAAATTGGAAATTCAGAAGAAGCTCTTCTTTTTTAGACCTGTGACAATATAATCATGATGCTGGAAAAAAAAAGCTAATTAAACTTCATCACTGATTATACTCGATGTGATGTTTAGGATATCATTATGGATCGGTTCATGGAAGTTCCTTTTAGTCACACTTGAATTTCTGAGAAAGCAGTGGGAGCCATTGGCTCAACTGCTTGTGAGTGAAATTGCATTGCAGGGGGAGCGATTCCGCACTAGGTCTCTCTGCATTGCTGGCTGGTTGGGGGCAGTGTGGTGTGCAATTTAGTGCAATGTCCCTTGTTTATAGTAGCAGCTTTATTTTAAGTGTACAAAACCTACACTTCATAAGGGGGAGGATTCAGGAACGCCAGCAGGGGACCTGAGAAGAGGAGGATCCAGGCTGTGTAGGTAATTATGACATATTTTTTTTTTTCAAAAAAGCTGAACCTGAACCGATCGTTTTAAATGGAATTTCCACTAAATACAGACTCCATATTAAATCTCAATAAGTTTTTTTTTGAAGACCTTTGTCCTTAACCTTTGCAAAAGGTATAAAAAAATGCCGAGATCAGGAGGGACTGCTATAAGAGAGTGTTAAGGAGATAGGTTACTCCCAAGGGTTGCAGTAAAATGGCTAAAATCTCCTAGATGTAAAAAAAAAAAAAAAAATGTATGCAACAAATGCAGTTTTCCCAACAATGCAATATTGGGTATAGTGACATTTCACTGAAATCCTTGCACATTTGAGATACTGGCTCTAAGCAGAAGTTTTTCTACCTGGCAGATATGAAATCCCCCTGTTGTACGGACATGGCAGCATGTTGAGTGTCACATACCCAGCTTTGTAACCCATGGGAGTCCATCGTTGGGCACAGCCAATATACACGTTCCCACTGAGTTGTCATCTGTTCCGTACATGTGATATCCAATATTAGAGTCTCAAAAAATTCGAAGCACGAGAAGGAACAGCACAGATTGCAACAAGACTGAAACTTGTGATGATGAATATTTTTTCCGTTTAACATCTTCCAGACAATTGTGCTGGTTGTAAACAGTGACAGAGCCTGGCCACCCGCCAGTCATTAACCGCTGAGACCCGTTCCTGGCGCCAGGCCCAAAGCGGCACGTACAACTATACAAGAAATAAAGTGCTGTGTTCATCTGTCACTGACACAATTGAGACTCGACTGCTGGAGATCTGGCGTCCTGTCAGGAGATCTCCTGAAGGCTGTGTAAGCCAAACCTCCCGGGGTTTCATCACGCCATCGAGCTGCTGCGCTCTAATAGACTTTTGCCTTACTTATGTGTTTATTAAATTCTCGCCATTATCTCAGAACGGACCAGTCTCAAGCTTTTATATTTGTGGTTCCTAGACAAGACACAGTTCAGTGTGTATCTCTATTATCTGTTTACCTATCAATCTATTTATCACAGATTTTCATTGTTCAATCTTGGGCACTGTACAGGTCAGCCACCAGTGTACTAACAACCACTGACATCATTGGTTGAAAAGGAGGACATCAGGCACCTGCACAGAAATCTTGTTCGCCCCCCCCCCCCCACACTCCTGTCAGCACTGGGGTCACATTATTTGCGAGGGGGGAGAAAAAATAAGGAAGGAAGAATGCTGGCATACTAGTCAGTACCAGTGGGCTAAAGTGTATTAGCTTTCAAAGAATAAATCACCTCTAATGTTACATGTCTGGATGCTACTGCAATGTGCAAAAATACTAGTTGACTTTCTAACATTTTAGAATGGGGTGCCTCGAGATTTTCCATAATTTTAAAGGGTGCCTTGACTGGAAAAAGGTTGAGAAACACTGTTTTAGACAGTAATTGTAACCTATATACAGAACTGGGATAAGCCGAGGCAGGAGAGGCACCTGCTTTGGGTGCCATGTTGAGAAGAGCTTCTCTTGCCTCCACAGCACCCATAACATCTTGTGCACTGTGCAGTGCTGGGCTGTCAAACTGACAGCTTGGTTCTGCAGATTACACTGACAGAGTTAGTGACAGCCACTCTCTCTATATCAGAAGCCCTGATGGCCTTCTTGATGGACAAAGCATAGAAGACCAGCTGTCAATGTGATGTTTGAGCGCCGCTGATTACTCTAATATTATGAGACTGACTCTCCCGTTATTCTGCAAGGCTGGGCTGTCACACTGCCAAACAGGTCTTTCATTCTTTTGACCTTCAAGAAACATAGGAAATATTAAATGTTTTGGTTATACCACCACCTACAGGAGTATTGGACACTGGCAAGCAAAAAAACATGTAGGCTGGCCTAGAATAATCTCCCCCCCCCCCCCCCCCCCCCACAACCCCCAAATACTAGCATGCTCCTGGTTTTTATTAGGATCCTTGGAGGTTGGATGTCCTTTCTTCAGCTTTTTTTTTTTTTTTTTAACTCTCCAACAGTTTTCTCTGTTAGAGCTAAGCTCTTAAATGTTTGGTATCTGATCCATCGGTCCTCAGCCTGGACTTTGTAGTGTTTAGTCTAAACCCCCCTGCATTGACTGTTCAGCTGTTGGACGGATAGCCTGGAATTGGTCACTGGGCGCAGAGTTAAGTGTGTAGGGTGCTTTCCACAGTCCATTCTGCTAAAAAGTTAGCTAAAGAGTGCTTTTAAATTTCAGAGCTGCTGGAATAGCCTCACTGCTTGCCCTGACTCACTTTGTAACTGGGCTGTTTCCTGAGGTTTTCACCATAGAAGGAGATAATGCTGCAAGATGGAGCACTGATTTCATTCCCTGACGGGAGTGTGTTCAGCTCGCACATTTTATGCTCTCATTCCCACAAAGGAAGCATCTCCCTGCTGCTGCTCCTGCACATGGAGCCACGTGGAACTTTGATGCATTCCTGCTGCTCACCTACAAGGAATTGGTCACCTCATGGCCTTCCGACCCTCACCTATCAGTTGTCCTGATATTCTGGTCCCTGAGGCCATGTCTCCTACCCTGAGCTTTAAGTTGCCTTACCACCATGCCGTCACAACATGTCTGATTCTAGACATGGGGGGTATGATTGGCGATAGGTTTCGCTGTACCAGTTACCCCCAGCTTACACGCTGCTACTGGCTCCAACCTCTACAACCTAGAATCCTGTTGGCCTCCTAAAGTCTATTATTTCTTTTGAGTCTTCCTTAGCTCCGTTGGGTATGGCCAGTTCTTCTGCCCTCTCGGCTGAGGTTATTACTACAGTCATGTAAGATTTGATGGCCCAAATCACAGTTATTTGCTGACTCTGACTGCAGGGGCCACAAGTGTCTTCTGTATCTTCTGCAGATTCTTTAACTGTTTTTTTTTCTGAGGCATTGGCAGCCTGTGAGCCATCAGCTGCTGAGAATCTGATTCTGAGTCATTCCAGTCTTTACCTGAGGAGCTTGCCTCTGAGGAGTTCCTGTCCTTTGCCACTACTCCCAAGTTAAAAGAAATTATTTCTGCATTTAATGATGCGATACGCACCACTCTGAACTTTAGAGGATTAGCGTGTTGCTTCCACCAGTGCTCGCTCGTGTCTTGGGTACTTTAGCCTCTAAAACCACAAAGACTTTCCTAGTGCAGTATACCTGCTGATCTCAGTCCTCCTCTTTGGAGCATAACATCCTTCAGACGGCTGTTGCTTCCACTTTGTTTTAATACCACTAACAGTTGACCGTGGAATATTTAGTAGCAAGGAAATGTCATGGATGGACTTATTGCACAGGTGGCAACCTATCATGGTACCACGCTTAAATTCACTGAGCTCCTGAGAGCGACCCATTCTTTCACAAATGTTTGTAGAAGCAGTCTGCATGCCTAGGTGCTTGATTTTATACACCTGTGACCATGGAGGTGATTGGAACTCCAGAATCCAATGATGTGGAGGGGTGTCCCAATACTTTTGGCAATAGTGTGTGTGTATTTTTTTTTTATATTTAATTCCCAGAATGGACTATAAAAAACAAATGTCTGCTTACCTATACACTAGTGCCTGTTGTCACCTTCAAAGTAGTCTTCATGCCAAGCAACACACTTTTCTAGACAACTGTGCCACTGCTGTAAACATTCCTGATATTTGTTTTCCAGAACGTTGTGCAGTATCTTTGTTGCAGCATGCTGTATGTCCTGAATGTCATCAAATCTGTGTCCTTTTTAAGGTATTTTTTAATTTTGGAAACAGCCAAAAGTCGCAGGGTGCCAAGTCAGTGGAATAAGGTGGTTGGTCAAGTTTTGGAATTGATTTTCTGGGCAAGGAACGCTCAAACACTTAACACATCTTGTACAGGATTATTGTCGTGGTGGAGAATCCACATATAAAGCCAGAGTTCCGGTCTTTTCCTCTGAACAGATTCCTGTTCGCCGAAATTTACATCCATCCTTTGCATTTTTAGCTGCCC